CCAATATCTATATATATAAACACTTCAGGTTATACATTTTCTTCGGGCTGATATTGTCGATTTTATTAGTGGCAGTATGTGACCAGAAGGAATTAAAAATCTGAATTTTCCATTTCAAAGTGCATGTTTCTAATGTACATAGTTGAAGATTTTGTTGAAAGCAAGCCCAGTGGGGTGTCAGTGACGAAGACAAATTACTGTAACATAAGCGTTTTAATTACAAAGTAGTTTTTAGAGTTGTTTGATTACTGTGCTATCAGTGGAAGAAAAAGGTGGAACAGTGGCTAATTGTGGAGAAAAGTTGGATTTCGGAAGGAGTTCCTTGCTTTCTGAAGTTGAATTAAGAAATCCAGAGAAAAGAGTATTGGAACTGGATAGAAGAAGAACTATAGAGAGGAGATAACCAAACTCGGAGTATACATATAAAATAAAACAAACCGTACCTTTCTTCAAATCTCTGAATTCAAAACTATATTCACCCTTATCCTTCCCCTAAAAAGACGAGAATCCAGCCCTAAAACCCTTATTATTTTAATCTAGAAACTCTTGGTTACTTCAAATTGGTGAGCATCATCCTAACTAGTCCTTTACCACTTTCATCAATTGTGTTTTCTGAGTGTTCTTTGGATCTTTATCCTTAATATCATATCTACTTTGTTCACTAACTATCTTCACTTTGCAAAAAACTTTGACCCATATTCTACTATGAAAGATGACAAGTATTTTTGGATTAAAGTCGTGTTACCCTCTTCTCTAGGTCATATATTCTTCGGTTCTTTCTCCTCTTCTCTGTTCTTATTTATATTCCAGCCTTCCAGACTGCTACAAATATTCTTTATCCAAGCAAGAAATGAAAATATTTCGCACCCTGCTCATGTTTTATCATGCTTCTGATATTTCATACATACTGGTTACATCATTCTACAGATTGCTTGTTATCACCTATCATTACTGAAAAAATGGGTTGCACATTGTCTACAGTAGGATTATTATCATAATAAAAAAGTTTAGTTGCAAATTGATGAACATGGAAGTTGTTTTTCATTTCAATCGATTATTCTTTCATTGCATTAGATTACGTCTTTTATTTTTGGTCAATATCTACGCTGCAGAAACCAAGGGCTTAGTCGTCTCTTTGATATGGCTTTAACATGGTATTTGCAACATTTCTGACAGGATTCTCTGAAAGCTTTACACCACAAAGAACAACGAACAGTATATCGTCTAACTCTGGTTAAAGGATGGAATGCAGAAGATATCGATAAATATGCTAACCTGTTTGACCTTGGAAAACCAGATCTAGTTGAAATCAAGGGTGTCACATACTGTGGATCGTGCGTAACATAGTTTATTTTGTATGGATGACTACTTATTGTCATCTCTTTGTTTAATAACCTTTTGCCTGTTTATTTTACAGGTCTGCAACTTCGAAGCTCACAATGGAGAATGTTCCCTGGCATTCTGATGTCAAAGAATTTTCAGAAACGTTGGCTGCCAAAAGCAATGGCCGATATGAGGTTGCTTGTGAGCACGTTCACTCCTGCTGTGTTCTTCTTGCAAACGTAGATAAGTTCAAGGTCAATGGTCAATGGCATACGTGGATAGACTATGAAAAGTTTCACGAGCTGGTAATATGTCTCCGAAGCACATATCTTTGATTTTTTAGGTTTATAACAGGGATAATCGTGAATTACGTCTGTAGTCTGGTTGTTTTGAACTCTATCCTCCTAGTGTTATTGTTGTAGATAGACCCCCAATTTGACTCTTTTGCCCCTAGAGAAAGAATTTTTTAAAAAGAAATAGACCCTCCAAGGGTAAAATAGCCAAAAAGATTCACTCGAGATGTGTAGGGGTTTTTTGGGGGGGTGGTGGTGGTGGTGGTTTTTTATTTTGGTCATTCACAATTATATCCCTTAATAATATTAGTGAGAGCCAATACTGATTAGTTCATGTTGGCATAAAGGTGGCTTCTGGAAAGCCGTTTAAGACGGAAGATTACATGGCTGTCACCCCTTCATGGGCTGTCTATGGCGCTGATGAAGGTGGGTTTGATCCGGACCAATCTAGATATAAGAAAGAGAGACGCCACGGAGCTGCAGCTATAAGAACTAGTCAGTGATTGTAAAAGTCTCCTAAAGTTTTGGGCAACAGGTTTTTTTGTCTGTAATATTCAGTTATTTTTGTTGGATATTTTGGTTTTGTATGATAACCCATTTCCAGTTTGCTGATGTTGCCCCATAATTTATAGTACTATGTCTTTTTATCGATGCAATTGATGATGAAAGGAAGCAAGAGATTTCGGGCTGAACTTTTCTGGCTTAGTGAAATGTCGGCTTGGTTGACATCTTACTTGTAATTATGTAAAAGAGGCTTCCAGTATCCCACTGTTATCATGTTGCTGCCCACGCGGTCATGTTCTGCTAATACTTCCTGGAAGAGGACCAAGATGTTCCAGCTTATAGGTAACGTTTCTGCTATTCGATTGTTGCTTTGATTTTATTTACGTAGAATGTAGAGTTCGGCAACTAAGTATGATGTGAGTATCGTATCTGAGTAACTTTTTGTGTCTAGTTTCTAGATGAGAGATGGCATGCTCATGAAAGTGAATTCTTTCTCGTAGTGGAAGTTATCTATTTTTCTGCCGTATGGTCACTAATTGGGATTAACACATGTGGTCTTTTCTTCCTCTAGTAATATTTTTGCATGTTTTTTGAGAATCTAGAGCTTATATATCTTTGTGTGTTATGCACGCGTGTGTGTGTATAGAGAAAGAGAGAAATAGATAGATACATGAACACACACAGACGCACGCGCACGCACACAGACACACACAAAGAGACTAAGAGACGCACACACACGTTGCAAGCTAGGTTATCCCATTTTCTGATTATATATGATTATACTCTTGACTGTAGTTTGGGTATGTGTTCCCTCAACGTGTTGATCAGATTACTTTCTTAGAAAGACTTGGCTTGATCCTATGGTAATTCTTACACGAAAAAGATACAACCAAAGACTTGATTCGATCATATCGTAATTCTTATACGAAAAAGATGTTACCATTTATGTAATTTAATGACCTACGATCCTGTACAGAAATTTTAAGCTTCATCTCAATAAATTATTTTCCCTTTCGACTCCTTTTTACTTTTGGGTATCAGAAGGGTGTAGACTTTAGGGCATCGAAGTGTCTAAAATTTTTGGGATATCAAAGTTTAAAAAAAATTGTAAACATCAGGCCGCGAAATTGCGAATAACCCTTAAAAAGACATTGCCTGAGGACCAAATTGCAAGGCCCTTTAGGATTAAGTGACTCAGGAAACCAATTTCAAAGATTCCGAGGGACCAACTAACATCTGAGAAAGAACAAATTTTCAAAACATCCCTAAAAAGGTGTTTATTTTTTAAAAGCGACCCATCTTTTTTTTATTTATTAAAATCGATCAATTTTTTACCACGTGAGCTTAATGAAGTTCCTAAACAGTCGGGGTTGACAACCCCGACTGTTTAGGAGGGTATTAAACCCCAATTAGAACTCTTGAACCCGAAATTTTTATGTCCTAAATAGTCGGGATTGGCAACCCCGATTGTTTAGGAACTTCATTAAACCCACGTGGTAAAAAAATGAGTCGATTTTGATAAAAAAAAATGGGTTGATTTTGAAAAATAAAAAACTTATTAGAACTGTTTTGAAAATTTCCTCTTATCAAAAGTAGGTGAAAGTGCCCAGCTGCCGAGCACAGAGCTCCCCCTCCTTTCTCCATTTTTTAATATAATATTCTGTTGTCAACAAGTACACTGTACTTCCCATTCGTCAGAGAGCGGTATGAAGACGAGCCCACAGCATTGGAGGTACCACGTTCCCAGCCCCCCAAATTTCCTTGCACCGGCTTGATTGACTCGAGAGAGAGAAACGAGAGGGCAACAAATCGATCACGGAGAGCGATGACTCTAGGGCTAATAAACGCCAACCCCATCGTCCACGAGACCAGGGACCGGACTTCCCGCAGCGCCGACGATCCTCACTCCGGCGACGCCGCCGTCGACGCCCTCGACGTCTTTGATATCCTTTTCGATCCGTCTTTTTCGTTCATTTTCTTTCTTTTTTTTTGTTCTTGGAGAGTAGGTTTGGGGGTTCCTTTGACTCAGCTCGACAGATTTCGTTAGGGATATTAGGGATCCGGAGCATCCTTACTCGTTGGAGCAGCTCAGCGTCTTGTCGGAGGAGTCGATTACCGTTGACGAGAAGCTCGGCCGCATTAAGTGAGCGGATCTTTAACACCGTTCCGTTGAGTTTGAGATTTCAGTTAAATTTGGCTTTTTGAGGCGTGATTGGAAAATTTTCTTGACTAAATGCCGAACCTGGCTGTTTAGACTGTGAAAAGAGAATGAGATTTTGATCGTGATACTCAAATTTGTGTAATAGTGTGCACTACACTGGCATTAGGCCATCTCCAACCGGCCTCTATATCTCCAAAATCTCCAAATTTGGAGAGTGGAACCTCTCCAACCACTCTCCAAATTTGGAGATCTCCAAGTTTGACCGGTGAGGAGAAAAAATGGAGGATCTCTCCGTAACACTATTCATGGTTTATTAATTACAATTTTGCCATTTTTAACTATTTGATTTCTTAAAAATTACCACTTTGCCATCCTTCTTAGTAATTTAAATTAGATGTTTAATTTCAAATAAATATAGTTAAAAAATTATTAATCTAATATTTGAAATCATTATATATTTGGAAAGGGCTCGTTGAGATCTTTAAAATGAAACTAAGATTAATTTATTTTAGTATTATTATAAAATTATTAATTTTTAAATTAAATAAATAAGTATCAGTCATGAAATTTTAAATACATGGATCTATTTAACTTGCCCCATAAGAAAATACAAGCATAAATTATAATATTTAAATTATATTCCTTCGTTGCCGTGCCTCTGTCATAAATGTTCAATTAGTGCGTTTTGAAGCATAAAATGACCTTCCCTATCTTGAATCTTCCTATGTCGATCAATGAATTGTTGGAATCGTTCGGCATCATCAATATCTATCTATTCAGGTCTTGAAAATTCGTCATGAACAATAATCTCTGGTTCTACATCGCGTTCATCCTCCACAGTCATGTTATGTAGTATAATACAAGCAGTCATTATGTCGTGTAGTCTCCGCTTGTCCCAAGAACATGATGATCCCTTAATAATGGCAAATCGTGACTGAAGAACACCAAAAGCCCGCTCTACATCTTTTCGATATCCTTCTTGCATAGCAGCAAAGAGCTGCCTCTTAGGCCCTTGTGGTTGGGATATTGTTTGTACAAGAATGGACCATTTGGGGTATATCCCATCGGCCAAGTAGTAACATGTATCATAATTCTTTCCTAAAATACTATAATTAGCAGGAGGGGAAATACCTTGTGCTAGTTGGTCAAACAAATTTGAAGATTGGAGTACGTTAATATCATTGTTAGATCCTGATAATCCAAAAAAAGCATGCCATATCCATAAGTCATATGAGGCTACTGCCTCTAGAATCATTGTTGGGCCTCCGCGACGTCACGAGTATTATCCCGCCCAAGCCGTTGGACAGTTTTTTCATTTCCAGTACATGCAGTCTAAACTGCCCAACAATCCTAGAAATCCACGCTCTTCTCCTTTCCTTAGCAACCGTGCAATGTCACCCGTAGTGGGATACCTCAAATATTTCAATTCGATCATGTTTGGACGATCCTCAAGGATGCCGAGAAATGGGCTGACCCTAAATCTAATCATGCAGTTGAGAGCATCTTTGAAGGATCAGAGTCGAACACGGAGAGGGAAAGTTTTATGGACATGAGTGATGGCCTGTCTCCCACGGATAGCTCAGCAAGTCGCCCTGTTGGAAGAAAGAAAAAGAAGACAGAGAAAAAATTCGGCGGAGTTTAGTTCTGAGGAGGGAATTATTAAGAGTATGCAAGAGATGGATGCTAAACGTGAAATGAGCAGGGAAAAAATAGAGCGATTGATGATAATGAAACTTGAAAATGAAAAGATAAAATTAGAATTGCGAGTTAGAGAAGTAGAACAACGTGACCAACAATTAGCTCTTCAGCGTGAAAGCGAGGATAGACAAATTATGTTGACTGATCTCAGTAAGATCGTCGATCAAAGTGAACATGCTTACTATCAACAAAAAAAAGGAAATTATGAATAGAAAGGAATATAGAACTCCATCATTCGACTATGGATTTTCCTCCAGAGGGCCAAGAGGATTTTCTGATCTTCTTAGAGGAGCTGTAGGAGGACAAAACGAATATGGATTTCCCACTGGAAATCAAGGAGGATTTTCTCAATTTGCGGGAGAAGCTGGTTCTGTAGGAAAAAATGAATATGGGGGTTCATCGAGAGATCGGGATGGAATCGGTAGTTATAACGATAATGGCCTGCCAGAATTTTAATTGTCTCTTATCATATTTTATGTTTGAGGTTTATGTTTGCGACCTATGATATGTTGTATTAGAGGTTAATATTTGCTTTATTGTTCTATCGATGTATGCTTTCACTGTTATTTCAGAATTTTTTCTTTTTTAATATGTTGTATTACAGTATTAATATTAGGTTCATTTTAAAGCTCTCATCGACACCTTCATAATGTTATAATTTTTTTTTTCAAATAAATTATTAACAATAAAATTATTAACGTAAACTATATCCAACATTATTAATTTATATGGCTTTTTTGACAAAAAAAATAAAAAAAAGAAAAATATTTGGAGAGTGTGGGTTGGAGCAACCCTCCAAATTGTACCCTCCAAATTAGAATATTCCTAGAATATTCCAATTTAGAGGGTGAAATTTGGAGGGTATGATTGGAGATGCTCTTAGAAGGTTAGGGAACTTAGAGGGAACTGAATTCGAAACAAAAATTTTAACTTTTTTGGATTGTGATCATTATCATGTTTGAGATGGACTTGAAGCTGGAAGAAGCTATGATTTCTTGAAACTTTTGAAAGGAGATATTGCTGGTTGTGTAAATTTCGGTGGACTTTTACATGTATGGATTACGTTCTCATCAACTAAACTAGGAAGGGTAACTGAATGAGTTATATGTCGACTAAAGGTTGTGTGCGAATTTCAGTCAATGAGTCATTTTGGTTCTGGTACGAGGTTGAGGACAATTTTGGTACTGCAAATATAAATATGTCAATAAAATTATAAAAAAGGGGGAAATAAGGCGTGATAGCATGTAATCTCGCAAGAATTTTTGAGTAGAAGATATATGTAGGTTAACTGGTCTTCTAGGTGAGTATGATTCCATTACCATGCTTGTT